ACACACATATATAATACATAACATATATATATATATATATATATATATATATATATATTGATTTTTGTACTTACGTTTATATATACTTATAAGGCAAATCGCTACTTTTGTACCTCGCCTGTCGCAGAAAGTTAATTTCAACCCAGGCATAGCCAATACAAACAATCTGTTGTATTCTTTGCATGAGTTCAGGAATGGTGAAGTAACGAGTTCTACTACGCCCCAGCCATCTACTCGCATAACTTTCGGCCTTGTATGTATCGGAACAGATTAAGAAGACAACACAGTATCTGCTGACAAGAATGGTTTAAAGACGACCACACTCAAATTATTGTCTTCTTCGCCTAACAACAGGTCCAAGAGAAAACACAATCGCTACTGCGCTCCAATCCCGTCGGGCCTTCTGTGCTAGGATGCTTCCACTTTGTATACGGCGTTGACTGCAGTTCTCCTGCGGCCGTGGCTGCGTACTTCAACACACTCGTCAATGACCTGCGCAAGGCCGCTGTCAATACTAAAGCGTCTTGGCGCATCCAGAGCGGTACGTACTGTTGCTATAACGCGTTTGCCGGTGTGGATGTACGCGTGGAGGTGACTATGCCGGGCACGGTCAATGCGTACGTGCTGGACAATCAGGTACGATCGTTGGCTTTTGTCTATGTACATACGTACAGATAGATGTGTTTTTCCCAGGGATTAAACCATGCAAGAGCGTTTAAATTGTGTATCTTCAGTCTACCCATAAACTTCGTGCTGAATTGGACAGACACTCACGGGCTGCTGGCCTGTTGCGCCTGTTCAACACATGCGTTGGTGTCTTGAATTACAAAATTGTGCGGACTATGTCAATTGCTTTATGGATTGTCAACTTTTTTGGATGGGGGGGGGGAGGATGTTAATCCTGTAGCGAGTCTTTGACTAGTATAATATCTCACTTTTGAGCCAGTTGTGCACAATCGATGTGTTGGATTTAGTAGTCGATACCATTGCGATCATATCAGTAGTCGAATTATTATGCTGCGCTGGTAGTTTTGTTCGATCTTATCCATTGCTTCATTGTTGAAAGACCTCATCCATGTACGCCTGCTAGACCTAGAACCAACCAGGCATTTGAATAATTCTGAGAAAGCAAGGCTTACTTCAACTCTGATCAAATAGGTGCAAACATGTGCATTCGAATATAAACATGAACGTTAGCCTCTTGACGAGTGTAGCAGACAAATGATCATTCACCGTACATCTGCACACATAAACGTAATCTGATTTACTCTCTACCCGGATTGCAAACAGGGACGTAGATATGGATGTGATGAGCGCATGTGGCAGGAGGTGCAGCTATGCTCTGTTCTGCGGTATGTAGAAAAGCCGTCACCATTTGATGTGCCGATATTCGGTCTCCGCACATTTCATCCTTTCAAACGACCCGGAGACGAGAGAGCTTTCCTGAAGGTGTGTGATCTATAGCAAGTGTCGGGAGTGTTATCTATGGTGCATAACTTCCATGGGAATAACGCTGACAGCGAATATGGTCGTATGCTAGTGTGTATACATCGTACATTCATCTCGCCCGCCCGCCCGCCCGCCCCCCCCCCCCTCTTTATAATGCACCGCCTTGCTTAAATGCATGTGTATTTTAGAAGACTATGGAATGTTTCTGATTATGTTTCTGTCTGTCCTATTTGCTCCCCGCATCTGCAGACGGCAACGGAACTCTTCTGGGACGCACATGCACTGGGCACAGACGAATTGACAGCCAATGTGACGAATGTCAACAACAAACTAACGCAAGGCGTGAAGAAGTACTTTCTTAATTCGCTCAGGTGTGTGGGCTAGCGCTATTCCAGCAGGCGACCGCTTCAAACTGTGTCGTTAATTATTTTTTTAAAGCGCTCGCTACCATTCTTCTCATTCTTCTTAGCGCCAGCGCGTGAAACACATAATAGGAATACACCCATAATCAGGCCCACAGCCTTCGCCTCTCCCATTTTTCTCTCCATCGATAGCTGAGTATGAAATGTAAACTCCCCTGGTTGGGTTTCTCTGCCCATCCATCCCCTCATCCCCTGCAGATACCATCAGTGCATGTCATTCTTCCTGCTGCTCGCGCGACAGGACACGGAGCTGGTCTGTGTGCTGACCGAAATTCAGCACTTCTTCCAACAAACTGCATCTGCGTTAGTGCTGGTTTCGGACCATCTACTGACGAATAATACGTCAAGTGCTTGTGTGCTCAAGCAGTCGCAGTTGCTGTTGGACCGTGGAAACGTGGCTGATTCGCTCACACTCGCGAAACGCGCTGTGGATATGGCTCCAGCCCAGGCTCAGGTATAGATTACACAACACTCTTGCTCCTATATTTGGCTTATTGTTTTTGTATACGTTAGATGTTATGTTGTATCTCACCGCCCATGCACGTGTGCGTTCGATTATTGTATTTCTAGTATTAATATAATCGTCAAGGACCCAATATAATCCACGGTATGGATTGTGTCTCCTGGAGCACCCGATTGGGAAAGGTGTGCATGAGGTTTAATACATAAGGGTTTATATATTATACGGGAACCCGCCTTCAGGAAGGATGGTTCTAAGGTAAGATGAGATATGTGCACAATCTCTCAATTTTATGACTCGGGTCCCATGTGCCTATAAAATTGTTATACATACAATGCACACCATTTTATAATGTGCAGGTATCCACTACGTAGCTTGTGGCACCGTCTACCCTCAAAATTTGACCTGCCTAATATCACGGTGAATGTTCTGCACACTCTTTTAGGTTTGGATTCACCTCGCTAAGACATACGTAGCAGACAGACAGTTCGACCTCGCCCTGGTCGCCTTAAACGTAGCTCCCATGTCGCACGGCCTGGACGTGTGTGTGCCTGACATACCCGACTTCATCCCGTCTGCCAATGTGAATGAGGTTCTGAGAGATATGGTTGATGAGGAATCCGAGGGGGACCAGACCCTGGCGTCTCTGCCTGCCAGCAACTTACGGGGCACGTTTGTGGAGGCGTATGCTGTACTGACCAGTGTACTCAAGTAAGTGATATGCTGGCCCATACCCCCGCGTGCTTACTACTACATATTGTAAGATAGGTTGAAGCACTCATCCGTGGATTCGTGTGCTAGCTACATATTATCAATGTATTTGACTGTGTGAAGGTCCCGAAATCTCCACATATGAGTCCTAGAGTTCTTTTGTGGTGGCGTGTACTGTACTCATCGGTGTACCGGAGGAGAGAATTGCACTAAGCATATGTGTGTGTCTGATTCGTTTCTCAAACGAAAGGTCCAGTTGTCGAGTGTCTAAACTCTTGCACGACCATCGCATATGTTTGCCCGAACCAACATTCAACTACAATATATTAATTGTATATAGCCCACCGGCTGTTCTTTTTGCCCTGATGTATTATAGTATTAAAGTGGGATGCGCTAGCGCTAGCAGCTAGCCGTAGATAACTGTTTCTAATGTACAGTGTATTTGTGGCAGACCTAGCACTTTTCCTCGCCCAATAACACCGCAGTATTACTTAGTGGGATCTCAGTTGTCCTTCATGAAGATTCAGTGGCATATTATTTTTTTCAATTTATTCTATTTCTCGCCCAATCCCATTGCAGTATTATTTCGTGGGACGAGCTACTCGCTCACCGAACACAAGTGTTCCTGATGGAGGATGAGTACGCACGAAATAAAGAGGAGGTCCAAAGTAGCAGCAAATCTGAGTCCGATGTCAAGGTATCCCATTCATATTGATTGGCAATTAATTAGCAATATATTTTTCCTCTACTATATAAGCTTACGCGATGTTGGAACGATTTTACTGGATATGATGATTCAGCGATAAGTGTGTATATTCTAGGAAAGACGCTTACCAAGTGGAAAGACTGAAGTTATCTGGATTGCATTGTATCAATCGCCCGCAGATGCGACTGCTTTTATTTGGTTTCTTTGTTTTTATGGTCTGGTTCTCAAGCATTTCGCATCCCCGTACCTCACATAAGGCTGAAGAAAACGAAGGCAAAGACACGGATAAGCAGTCGGAAGTGCCTGCCACCGCTAACGATACGACTGCGAATGACACCGACGGCAAAACAGACGAAGACGATGCAACGCCCACGCCCACGTCTGACACCGAGAAGGACAGCGCAGGTGGGTATATATGCAGCGCATAAGCTGTATAGTGATTGTATACAGTTGTGGGGATGATGGTCGTGAGTCGGTGCATCATCTACACAGCCTTTGTATAGAATGTTGAAGAGTGCGAGTGCAATGGTGGGTTACGATGCAGTGCATTTTCGGTGACCCATCATATAGCTCAAAATTGGCCTGAACTGATTCCTCGTCTTTGTTGTGAATTCGGCCGCAAAGGCTGTGTGTGATGCAGAGCATATCCGATACTGTTTGTGTGCACGACATCGGAGTGTGTACTGAGATATTAGTGACTAGCACATCGCATAGCACTCGGATTTTGTGGTACGTGGCCCTCCCCCGGCTGTACTGGTCCGGTTTCTCATGGGACTGGGTACCACAACCTTGTGCACAATGGCACGGGTAGTGTCATTGCAACCCGACATTAAGTTAAGTTGCTACTGCTAGCACACTATCGCACGCAACGGTCGGTAAACCTTTCTTGACTGACGTATATTGCAGTTAGCGTTGTGAGAAACATTGCGAATATACATCAAAGTGTGTGAAAGAGTATCACCTTTATTTATTCAGTGTCATTTGAATCGCACGGTACGTTGGCGAGGTTTATCGACCCAGGTCTGGGTCCTATTATTTTCTTGTAAGCTTGACTCTACCATTGAATCTGTAAAACAACCCTGACTTATTCTGTGTCCGATGTATTTCTGCTGTGCAGATCAAACTTTTCTTCGTCCCGCTCAATCCCCATATTTATCTATCTCTCAATACAGACGAGCCCAAGGGCAAGGACGGAGTGAGCGAAGCAGCTGATATGGCCGACGATGAGGTTTCGCAGCCCACTGCCGCGTCACCTACTCCACCGGAGGCAAACTACACTGGCACAAAGCGCCTGCTTGAGCGGTGGCTGGATCAGCTCTTCACTGCACTCTACCAGGACCTGATGTGCAGTGTCATTTGGAACGCTCAGGTGTGTGTTTAATCGCGAATTCACCAAGAAATGATATTGTCGTGTATGTGTGTACATGGCTTTATCTGTTTCTCCAAGTAATGAAGCTATAGCGTATGTGTGTGCACGGCTTTTACCTGTGTCTCGAAGTATTGATACTGTAGTGTATGTGTATGCGTGGTTTTACCTGTGTCTATGTTGCGTCTGTACACTTACTAAAATACAACTACAGTGCTTGCTATAAGCTCCATGGGTGTTAAATGGACTGCCAACCTATATGTAGCGTCGCATGGTTGATCGTGGAGACTGGTGTACTGCTAGTCTTATATGGTTTTTAAAGTTTTGTTGTCTATTTACTCAACAAGTCACGATACTTTACTAACTAGGAGCAACACGCCATCAAGACTGGCTCGCGAGTGGAGCACACAATCGGTGACCTACTGAGATACGGATACCTGGCCAATCGATTGGGCAAGAAGGAGGACGCCATCAAAGCATTCCAGCAGTGCACTTCGCAAGGTTGGTACCACTTGTCTGTGCTATGAGTACCTGTTGCAGTGTTGTGAGTCATTGATATTGGCCACGGATGTTCGTATTGCTACGTGGACTTCTGCCTGTGTACAGCCTTGTGGTTAGCGATTATTTGCCAGGCTGTAATGACAATGACAGTACCAGGCCACTTCTGCACCGATGCCCATGCGGCAAGTATCTTGCTCACTATAATACTTTTTTTTTAAGTTTGGCGGCATCAATTGCAATCTGTGGTGACTGTGTGCTATACAGAATGGTTTCTTTGTGTGATTATATTTCTATATATAGTGGTGTATTTGTGTGTATGATTATATTCGTTCCTGCACGAGTGATCTTTACCTAGTCTTGTCGTTTCTAAATCCATGATAAGCCAAATTTCAAATTTGTCGTTCCGGTGTTTGCGTACCCACAAATGTCGGAAAGTTTATTTCATCGTCAAATAACAGTCTACAATTTTTATCCTCATCCGATGAACGTGCACTCGCAGCCACTGGTTGCGATTTTGGTGATGCTATTGCTCGACTACTTCACTGCAGTATTGCTTCTGCTTCGCCACAATACTATAGTAATGCTATTCGCAGTTACACTATGGTGTCGCTTGTTGACCACCTTTGTACTACGTTGGTGCTGAAAATTCACTTCAATAGTGTAGCGGAGCTAACCAATCACCACTTTGCCTCAGGTTTCTGTCTAAGAGGGCTGCTAGCTATAGTTGATATGTACGCCGACGATGGATTTGTCGAAGAAACTCTCGCTACAGTCGATGCTATCTGCCAGTTCTACGAACTAAATACCGACTATGAGGTGTGTGTATAAATTTTTTGAGACTTTTCAAGGGTTAGAGGCAGTTCTGGCACGGTGTGGTAAACTTATCACGTGCTCTGTGTATGTATGCAGGGGTCGAGAGACAATGCATCCCTCGCACAAAGATAGTTTCTATTCACAGCTGAGATTGGTCATATACCTATCTCCACGATCCATTTACCATATGAACGCGCTGAAGTCTACTGGGTTGTTGTGTCCGAGATGTCTAATATAATTTAATTAGTCTATGACTTCGTTTTCCTCGACTACAATCGTGGAGGCTGCATTCTATTTGTTTCTGCAAACCTTGCATTATTAATCTTCGTATGAAATGGTCAATAGCGCGCTCAAGAAGCCGGATCACTGTAGAGACTGTCCTCAGTACGGTGCGAACTGCTCATTTAAAGAAAAGTTTACTCGAAGGGCATTTGTTAATCCGTATAGGACAAAACATAATACGATAATGTCGATAGGTCGTCTGTGTCCACCTCGATTACCAGCGAACTAAACTTATCGATGAGGAAAGAGTTGTCAGTGTGTGTAATATAACATATGCATCAAAACTGTGACATTTGAATTCATATTTTTGTTCTATAATTACTTCGAATGGTATTGTAGATTCCGGTATCCGTGCACCAGGCCGTGTACAAGCTAATCCGAAAACACGGCGTTGCTATGCTGAACCAACTTGGTGGCAAATGGGTCACCCGTAGTCCCCATGTGAAGCGCATAATCGACAACGGTGTGAGCTGGGCTGTTACTGGGCACGACCAGTAACCGATCAGCAAGGACGCTCCTGCACTCAAACGAATAGTAGATGGAGTATAGAATTTGATACGAATAAAGAGAAAACATGGAAGGACTACCTTTATTTTACTCTTGTACCGGACCTACGGTCTGAGCTGTGCTACTTGAACTATAATGTGGCAAAGATCGTTTTATGGGCTGTCATTTGGGCACGATCTGCAAGGGTGCATTAAATTGAAATATATAGATATAGTACTGAAATCGATCACCTCTTTAAACTAGAAAAGTATCCGATTCCTCGCGCCACCCCTATTCAAAACGAACAATTACTACAGCGCTTGCTGGCTGTTGGACAATATCAGTTAGAATTAGCTCTACATCCGAAGCCAACTAGTAGATAGAGAATAGTGTGAATGCGATCGAAGAGCAGTCAGAACCGTTGGAAGAATTCCAATGTAACGCTGAGTGTTCGTGTGAGGCCTATAGTCATTGCTAGGCCGTTGCGCAGCAAATCTTTGAGGGGCTGCTCATATAACCCTCGCCAGAATAATTTCAACCTGAGGTCTGACGATATATATTTGCCGATTCTAATTTGTCTTATACCAACTCTTACGGACGGTTGCGGTGTGCGGACTGTGAGGAAAGATTATGCCGCGCTGAGGATGAGGCACTCAAGTCTCCTACTCGTACAAATAATAAGACGGATCAATTACGATGCTTAATTTGATTGATACAAAGGAGCAGCGAGCCTCTGATTCCGACAAGATACCCCATCTATTTATATTTATGCCTGAAAAACAAGTAATGCACAGTTGTTTGGTGTTGACACATCTGGACGCGTACAACATATATGTGTGTCGCAATCTGTAGACGTGTGCCGTGCCTTTTCTCAACCCCATCCCAAATACCGCTAGTATAACTTTCAGCATAAGCAATATGAGATAATGTACAGCAACTGTTCTATATACACAGTACGGATATATCGCCCCAATACAGAGGCTGGGAGCCCTCAATAGTCACAATTAACTCGCAATTTGCATGGACAGCAATCGCCAACCCCGTAATTGCGTTTGGGTTTCCTGAATGTCCAATCGTATCATGCACGGTCTGTCAATCGTCGCAATCAATGCATATATCAAAGGCAAACATATCATTAAGTCGATCTGAAGTAGATCATGTATCGCTTTAGTTTGGTCTCTATGAATACCCATTGTGTGGTATCCTTGTACCAATCATCAAACAGCGCTCGCCCGCCCGCGAGCTCTACTGATATGTGGTGATGTAGACTCGGCGGCAACGCACCATTTCGCACTCATATCATGTCACTGACAAGCGACGTGCACGGCTGTGTCTTTCAAGTGCAGCTCAGTCGGAACCACCTACGAAATAATACGGCAGAAACTGTCCCGACGCGTCTTTTCACCACCGTGCTTTCCTTCATTCCCGCGCCTGCTGGTCTGAGGCCGACTTCGATAGAGAGAGACACTCTCATGGGTCCTTCGAATGCTAGTCCATTCGGTCATGTTTTCCATAAATATATTTCTATTATCTAAGTCGCGGATCTCCTCCTGTACCGCCTGTGGTAGCCCTCGGGGAACTCGGATAAACGGAAAGACAATGGCTATTGGGGTTCCGTACGGCACAGACGTACATATGGTCTACAGTCTGTACGCGGTACATTCTATGGAACTAGACAATACGATGAGTAGCCCAATGCAATGCTCGTTCGCGTACTTGACGATTGACTGTATATCACTTTAAAGGTAGCCATGTATGTGGAAATGTCCCTAACCTTTGCAAGCAGGCCTCGCCCACAATGCTTCGTCCGAGAGCCTTGCTGCTTTGCATCAACGAGTCCATCTCAACTCGGCGGAATGCACGAACAAGAGGTACGGCAGAGGTGTTCGTATGTTGTATATGTTTTTCGTAGCATACTGATTTTGTGTTTTCGTCTCGGATGCCTGTATTTAGACCGTGACGAAATGATGTGATTTAGGGTGGCATTCTGCTAATCAACGGTGTGCGCTTGTCTCGATACGTTTTGAATTCACTGTAACCACTGTAAGTTTGGCTGCAAATTAGGATATTTCCTTTGATCAACCCCATTGATCAGTACATGTGCAGTTTCCACAGTTGTGCAAACTGGGGTTGGAAATGGGACAAGTCCAGAGGTGTTTCCCAAAACATCTTCCGTTAGAGCGTGCAGAGGATGAGTTTACAAGCAACAGTACGTGCCTGTGTGTTTGTGTGTGTATACACAGTTTTTGTGCGCGTGAACACATGCGCATGTGCATACACTTGGACGTAAATCAACCTTTAAAACCAGCTGAAACGGAAGATGGCCCTCCCGATGGTATGGTACGTTTGATGTGTTCCATACACTGCAGTTCTGCTCACCGTCTATGTACCAGCTACATATATCTAACGCCCTGGACTAAAGGGCAACCAGACACTCAACGCAGAGCGTTAGAGAGTAGAACAGACATATTCGCCTTTAGATCATTCCGTGGTCGAAGTCGCGGAAGGCTCCCTGCCCGCATGAGTGATTTCGTTATGTGGAGTCCGGCACCGCATGGAATAGTATAGTACACGACCTGCGTGGCTGCACTCGGCGTGTTGTGAGCAGCATAACGAAGCTGCCATATCCGAAACTGGTGGGAGTGCTGACCCCTACAGTTCACTCCACTCATCCACAGGTACTTTTCAAAATGGTATCATCGCATACAAAGGCGGCACGTGAGGGTGGCCCGGTTGTTGCTGGTAAAATGTTGGGTCTATTGGCGCGTACGCAGAGCCCCGACGCCTTCACCCAGCCAATCGGTCAGATGATAGACCTAGCGCAATCTCAATACTCATGACGACCCCATTAATTCAGCCAGAGCGTGCTTAAAACACCACACCCTTCTGGTACACAGCATCGGCTGTGTCTATGGAATGTTCTGCTTTGGCACTCCCATGCGCCTCCAAGCTCTCACATAGTCATATATCGTGTGTCTCAACATAACACACCACTACACAGCCTACCACGTCAGCCCCAAGTCCGCTTGCGATGACGGCGCCGAGTCCTGGTTCACGGCCATCGCCCTGTCTACCGAGAGATCCGTCTTGCTCGACACTGACGATCGGGTCGAACGCCTCGAGAGCCTCCGCTCCAGCGGTAGATTCTTGAACTCCGCCAGCTCCGTATCCGATACATCCGACGTGTGCGCACAACTCACTGGACCTTCCAATGCAGTCACGCGCACACTCGCGTTGCATCCGTGTTCCGCCAGCATCCGCCCGTAGTTGTTGATGATGAACTTCAAGCGGTCTATTTCCCGCAGATGCTCCCTCTTCGAGGCCACTATAGCCTTCGTGCGCGCCTCCCGTGCGTCGCGCTGGTTTTTGATGACATCGGTCAGTTTCTCGTTCTCCACCTTCAGCTCGGTGATGGTTTGGAGGAGACCTGTCTCCCGAATTCCCCTCAACTCGATGTCGGCCGCTTCTTTCTCCAGTAGCGCCACTAATTCTTCGTGGTGGTTTTTCCTAGCTTGTCCTAGGGGTGTGTCGCCATTCTGTGTGGTTCCAGGAGTGCAAGTGATGAGTCAGTATGAATTTACCGATTCTTCATGTGCATCGATTTGACATTCCCTGAAACTTATTCATGAAGCCCATGACACCCGCAGACACAATTGTGGATTGGATATATGATCACAAGACAGTATACGGCGATCCGTGAATCTCACTTGACCCAGTAACAGCGACACACAGCGGATACTCTGTTTAACAAACACTGACAAGTCATAAGAGTCAATCTATCAACGCAATGACATTGGTGAGGCCGGGGATTGATTTCTAATTGATCGAGACACAAACTAGTATACGAAACCCAAGACGAATATTATTGAGCAAGCTAGAAATGTTGCACAAAATTACGAACCCGTAGTAAGTCAACGAAGAAAGCCGTCTTCACAGTATACAATACCAGATACAACATACATACCAGATATAAAAGAACACGTTAGTATGGAAATTCAAACTCCGAACGTGAAATGACAGCAGACATTCTCGAGCACAACGACTAGAATATCATACGTTCGTCTTTGCGAACATATCGGCGCCATGATCCAACAAGAGCCTTACGCACCCTAATTTCCCCGTTTGAGTTACGAAATGCATGGACGTCCAGCCCCGCTGTGAAATAGAGATGGGAAAGTTAGAAAATACCGGCAATATCAATCCCGCTGCTTCATCGTGTAATTTAGTCGATGGTAATGGATCTGATACAACCATTAGTAAATATTTTCTTTGTAATTGCTTGGGAGTGTGATAGAAAGTTAGGCCTGCCGCCACAGCTGTTGCCCCTATAGATGTGCTAGGTATGTGGTGATGTTTAAACTGATGCCAAGCGCACGGGACCATCCACAACCTATACAGATACACGTGAACACGCCCAGCATGCTAGCGTAAGTGCTCAGCTGATTCGAATGAAGCACATCCTGCACAGATGGAAGCGGACCATCACAGAGACGCAAGTATCATATA